CCTGGCGGACCCCTCTGTTCACGTCGATGATGATCTCCTTATAGAACGGTGAGATCCTGGTCGTGAAGTTGCTGTGGAGCTCACGAAGAATCCGGATGCACTGAGTAGGAATACCCTGGTTGCCCAGAGCTTCGATGACCGCTTCTGTCTTCTGGGGGGGGGGGCTTTCTTCAAGTCGATGAACGTGAGGCATAACGGTATCCTGTACTGTCGCGATACTTCGTTGAGCTTTGTTACCGTGTGGATGTGATAGATCGTGCTAAATCCTTTCCGACACCCTGCTTGCTCGCGTGGCTGTCCTTCGTCTAGTACTCTGCCAATCCGGTTGTGCCGTTCGTGGGAAGATTTTGTAGACTACAGACAGCACGCAGATTGAGCGATAATTGCCATTTGATAATTGCTGTGCAGGTCTTCCTTCCTATACATAAACATAGCTGATTTTCCTCGAGGTTGGTACCTTGCATTCCGACAAGTAGCGCGCGAAGAGTCGAGTTAGAGTTTTGACGAGAACTGGCAGAATATTTTTTAGATGTTCGGGTCTGATCCTGTTGTAACCATGTGCCGTACCATTTTCACCGACGAGATGGCGTGTAGGACTTTGGAAAGGGAGACTGAAGGAACGACGTATTCGCCCTGCTCCAGGCGGTACGGTGGCAGGTGGACGTGGCTGTCAAAGAAATCAGATTAAAAGTGGGATGACCTTCCACATTGCCCTTCGGGACGCAGTGACTGTTCCGTCCGGACACTGGAGGCCGGTGACCTTGGTTTTGCAGTTGGCGAAGTCGCGGCGGGCGTTGCGGATGCTCTTTAAAGCCTCTGCGACTCCCACCACTACTGTTGCTCTTCTTTGTTTGAAGGCTTCCTTTACCGCTTCTCTGCTAGCTTCGCAAGCTCGGACGTGAGCTGGTACTTGCCTGCGACTGGTGCGGCTCCATGATGGCAAATCAGCTCGAGAATTTCCAGAGATGACACTTCTCGGTGATCTTGGAATCTCCGACTTCTTGGCGTAGATGTGAAGATGTTGGACAAGCCATCCGTATTCCTCGTCTATGTTGTCAATAACGAAGCCCTCCGAGAGCCCAACGAAAGAAGTGAAAAGATTCCAAGTGATGACGGTTTCGGACCTGAACAAGTGATGACAGGTTTGCTTCTTGAATCCCTCTCTCTCTCTCNNCNTCTCTNTCTCTCTCGTCGTTACGTACGTTCTCCATCGAAAAGCGGTATTTCGCGGGAAGGAGGCAATGGTCCGATCCCGTGTAGGGCTTAGGAACAACAGTGACGACTTCGCTAAACCTTCGATTGGAGATGATGTGGTTTATCTCATCATAAAATGTCCATCATACTTCCATGTCCGCCTACAGAGTAGGGCTTCTAGAATTGTGAGCTGCCATGGTTGGTATGGATTGACGTGATGAGAACCCGGACAGCCTTTCGTCCTGCTCATTTCACTCTGTCTCGTGAATTCCGATGTGAAGCTCTCCAGGTGTTCTTCTGAGTCCGGTATTAGCGTTGAATTCGCCGACGACGAATTTTAAGTAGGTAAAGTCCTCCTTCGTAGAACTTCTTCAATTCCATGTATTAGGTTGTGTACATGTAAATTGCGTTTTTACCAATTAATGAGTGTTTTTTGTGTATTATTCATTTAATGTTTACATTGTTGTACATCATTTCGAAGCTCAACTAACGGTGTTTTACTTTTTGGTTTCCATTTGTTTTGACTCTCATCCTACGGGAACTCCAGTGTGGAAGTCTAAAATGCTCCTGAAGGAGCACATTCGTATCAATTTGCCTTATGGGTTTAAACTTGGACAGAAAGCTATGGATGCTAATGAAAGCACTGTGAAAGCGTGGGGGGGGGGCCAGATGCCTTTTCAATCCGCAGTTCTCAACACTGGTTCCAAAAATTCTAGTCCGGAAACGCAAACCTCCAAGACAGCCAGGTCGAGGTCGAATCTCTGAACTTGATGGTGGTGACTGCCTGAAGTCACTGGTGGAGCCTGATCCACGAAAAAGTGTTCGCGAGCTAGCGAATTTACGACCGTCGCCAAGCATCAGCAAATCTTGGAAAGGTGAAAAAGACTGCTCAGTGGGTACTGCATGAATTGGTAATTGATCAACAGATGTTCAAGCGCTACCAGATCTGTGACAAGAAGCCTTTCCTTGGTGATCTGCGAGAAATGGGTTCTGTACAATAACCAAAACGTTCTGCGCAGTGGTTGAACAAAGATGAACCCCCAAAACATTCTCCGAGGCTCCTTAGAGAGCTCCTTAAACATTCGTTCTAAAATTCACGAGGAATGATATTTGAAACAAACGAGAAAGGCCGTCAGATGAGCTTCAAAACAATGTACAACAAAGTAAATATGAAATGAACGATACACAAAAAACAGCGAGTCAAAGATCCATTTGCAAAAAACAAAAACTGTTTGCACACAACCTTATAGAATGGTTCGAGCTCATCCTCGTCGTAGCGTGATGTTGCTGTGTAGACGGATAGACGAGGGAAATTGTCGAAGCCGGAGTTGAGCCACATTTTCTCGATCGCAAACCTCCGATTCGGTTCGTCAGATTTTCGTACGAATCGATGTTCATGGCCTAGTGCTCACGCCTCTGCTTCACATGGTCCGAGGAACGTTCTTCTCCAACTTCGTATACTCGCAGCATGCGGGAGATGCCTCCTCATCTCCGCCACCCCGATAACGTCGTACCTGATCTTCCTGGCTTGCATCATTAGGTCTTCGAGTGAGCTTCCATGGCGAGCATCCGCGTTGAAAGTACAGATCGTCATCCCAGTTCTAGGCGACTTAATTCTCCGTTGGCCCTGAGATTCTAGCAACTTCGCCCGAGTGGTCCCAACCGACGCCGCCCTGTCGGTGTTTCCTTCAGGTTCAGGGGAATGAGGCTCATATCCATTACTGTTTTCGGCATATGGATTTGACCACGCCTAGCTCGTCGGGTCTTAGGTGGTACCATCCGCATTGGTACGGTTCGAAACCGTTCAAACCGTCCACCCCCACGCCATGTTGAGGCTGCAGGTAGGATTTGTGGGGGCTGGTTGAGGAAACGCCGATAATTTAATCGTGCTCAACACAGTCCAGTGAAGATTCATGATTCATTTGAAGCTCAAAGAGGTGGTGGTTGTGAAGACCTCACTGTTAACATTTCTGTGATAGAGTTCATATCTGTGCACATCCTGATTTAGGATTGCTAGCACTTTATTCCACTGCGATGCAGTCATTCTTCTGATTGATCAAGAGAAATAGCTCTTTCTACGCACAAGGTTCTTCGGGATTTAATGCAGGTTTTGCGGCCCTTGGTTTCCTGCTTCGTTTTTGGAACAAAGCCAAAAATAATCATTCTTGTAAGTAACGTCATATAAATGAGAAATTTTTCAGCCTAAGAAGAAGGACGTCATAATTTCGACAAATCCAGTTCTTGACACTCAAACTCGGCTTGAATGCAACCCAGAAGCTATTAGTATGAAATATTAGGTTCGTGCAAAGTTCTTGGCCACGTGTTTGATCCTTCCGTATTTCGTTTGCATGGATGTTGGTATATCGTCATCACATGTGCGTGACGTGGGGACTATACTCTTTTATTACACTAGCTATCACTCACCCACCTTGCACTTGCAGGCCACAATGTCGCATAATTTCCACTGTGACGTACCTGCGCCACTGCCTGGTTTTACTTCACGATTCACAAAAGAAGTTCCACTTTCTCACCTCGATGATCACTGGAGATGAGAACTGGGTCCTCTACGATAACCCTGTGAGGAAGCGGCAGTGGGTCGCTAAAGGAGAACAGCCACAAGCCCCCCAAAGGCCGACCTTCACCCCAAGAAGGTTCTCCTGTCCTGTTGGTGGTCCAGAAGAGGCATGGAATACTGGGAGATTTGACATGGAGAAGGGACAGACGATTGACGCTTCCGTATACGTTACCCAGCTGCGACAATTGAATGATCAGTTCTCGTGGATCGAATGCGGAAATCTACTTCCACCATGACAACGCCCGACCTCATACCGCAAAGGCGACTCAGGCCGAGCTGGAGAAGTACGGATGCTGATGGTCGCCCACCCTCCCTACAGCCCTAATCTCGCTACTTCTGACTACTGGCTGTTCCTGCACCTGCAGCGCTCACTGGACGGAAAAAAGTTCGAAACAAGGGATCAGGTCAGAAAGGCACTCGACGACTTCTTCAAGTCCCAGCCTCCGTCGTTCTGGAAGGATGGAATCGACAAGCTGCCTGAGCGCTGGCATCGAGTAGTGGATGGTGATGGTGCATACCTCTAATCTTCAGGTTGGTTCGCTTTTGAGATATTTACGAAAAAAATCGTGCCAAGAACTTATGCACCAACCTAATAGGTGTGGGACAGGGAAGTGTTAGTCAGTGCAGAGTTCACCAACGATTTCAATAGTGTTTCCGCAACGATCCACTTGCGCTCCAAGATGAGGAAAGTCGTAGACGTCCTTATTCTGTGGATGAAAGCTTTGGTGGGAAAGATTCACCTACAAGTGCACAAGTTCTTGCTATAGATATCGGCACAAGCCGTTTCGGAACGCTTCAAGAACTTAGAAAGCAGGAAAAGCTTGAGAAAAAAATCAGTGCTCGACGAGTGAACACGAGCTGAGCGAAGTCGTCGGCATGAATTGTCGCCGCCGCCGATGCTGAGCAAGAGGAATAGCTCTCAAGCCACTGTAATGACCACAAACGATTCTTTGTGAAAACCATGTGAAAACCTCCAAATCGAAGTCGCACCAAAAGGTGATCTGCCCTCATAGATCTGTGACGGGAATCATTCAGCATAGCTCCGCTTATCTGAGTGAGACGATTACGGCAGTAAAGTAGAATGAGACAGTTGTTGAAGTACACTAGAACCTCAAAGTCCGTACCCGCCACTAGTCAAAGGAAAAAACTCTTCCACATTCACGACAACGAGCCAGTCGCACAATGGGTGTTTCAGAATTCAAGGGAGGTGAGCTTCCCGTCCCTGTTTTGACTACAACATTAGCAAAGCCTTTCCAATGCTTTTTATCACTTCTACTAGTGCCTGGACATCTTCCCGCAAGAGAAGAGCCTCATCAGCCCAGCCTGTGGAAACACGTTTCTTCAATTCTTCAGCACTGGATCACCAGACTATTCGTTCCATAAAAAGGTTAAATAGCTTTCTTGAGAAAGATATGTAGACTGTAATACTTTCTTTGATTGAATCGGAAACGAGTAGAAAACCCTGTCCTTGAATATCAAGGTCGACAACTGCATTGTTTCCCGGACACTCTAAAACAAGATGTGCCATCCATATACCAAGAGACTGAGTTTCGGGAGGAGGTGGTAAGGGGCTTATGACTTGCTAATCCCCGCACCATTTTATACTTATTGCCTGTCACAGGCGTCGCTGAAATTCTAACGATCTTACGTGTCCGTATCGTACCCCGTGGTCTGCTTTCTGCATTTCGCACTTAATGTTGCTTTGCTGCACGATGCTAAGTCACCCGAGCGCTTCACCCCCCTGCCTCAGTGCCACTTCTGACTTTATGATGTCGCGAGTTTACATCTATAGTAGGAAAGTTATCGGTTGTTTTGTCAATAGATGTGACCTCTATATCACCAAAATCGCGAGTGGAGTGGTTCACGCCGCAAGAATCCATGTTGGCTGCATCACCAATAAGTGAAATGGACCATAGTGCGTTTGCGAACGACCAATCAATTGATAAAAACGACTAATTTCATGAACTTTGAAGAATAAACCTACCTCATTGCTCTACTCAATTTCTCGTAGGTCATTTTAGTATTGTTCTTCCGCTCGCCCCAAAGTCGAGCCAGTTTTTCTGATTCAACTATCCGAAACACTCCTTCGATGGGATCTTCCCATCTGAAATCAGAGTTCAAGTTGTATACTCCGTCTCGACGAGAAGAATGGAAACAGTAATATCCGTTTGGACGAAAAGCCTCATGACACATCAAGTAAAATGTTCTAAAAAATTATGTGTTGTGACTTTGTGGAGGATGATGTGAATATATAATCTGCTATGTCTCTTTGCTTGTTTGCCTGTCCGGAAATTCGGATCGACCAGAAGAACAACTTGGAGTGGTTGGGTCAAGGGTGGGTTGGGAGGGGCATGGGACAGGTAGTAAACCAATTTGACCTATGTCAAGCCCAGCCCACAGTGGGAGGCACTTGCGCTGAAAGTTGGTAACGCAGCAGACTAAAATTCATAATTCGCTCCCTGAGCAGCACAGCGTTGCGGAAAAAGTGGAGTAAGGTTAGCAAGGGGCTAGCAGACTAAGTAACAGAGAAACACGCGGAATAAGCGGAAGGTATTTGAGGTGGGATGCTTCTCACAAAAATCAGTAACTCGGTTTTCGAGAGAGTTGAGAGATTGCAAAAAAGTCGATGCAGAAGAAAAACATCTGGCGAGAGTTGGACACGCCCGTGGTGGTTAGAACCCGTCCGCAGTGGGCGGAGCTTGCCCTCAAGCCCGTGGTGGTTAGAATCCGTCCGCAGTGGGCGGAGCTTGCCCTCAATCATAAGGTACTCATGTCAAAAAATTGCAGCTCGGTCCCAAAACACTCGAGGCACCGGAAAAAAAGAAGAGGATTAAGGTTAGCAAGAGGTTGCTGGTTGAGAAGTGTGGGACAAAACTTTGTGGACGGAGCCCGCACCAAGGTGGGCGGAGTCACACGAAAAGTTTGTGGAGCGGTTCTAGCGCACTCCACCGGAAAAAAGTGGATTAGTGTCAGCAAGATGTCGCCGGTTGAGAAGTTGGGAGGCACACGCTTTAGGGAAAGCCGCACAGGTGGTGCAAACAAACTCAAAGACTCCTAGTTCCGTCCTACAAAAAATAGGATACCGAAAAAAAGTGAACCGAGCGTCGATAGCGGACTGATATGGGAGAGGCACACACGGAGTGAGTGGAGCGGGCACATTGGTGGGAGGAGCCAGAGCGCAAGATTTGTGGGTCGGTTCTAGAGCACCGCAGCGAAGAAAAAACAAATAGTGGTGTGCATGGCTGCTGAAAAGAGGCGCCCACTGCCGGCAGAGCACGCGCCTTGATTGGAAGAGGAGCAAAAGTCAAGTTTGATAATCGGTTGCAGAGCATAAGCCTAGGGGAAGAGTGGAGTGAGGTCATCAGGGGGTGAACGAATTGGTATCCTAAAAGTGGGCGGGCCGTACATGAGATAGGCAGTACTTGCTACAAGATTCCATGAATCGGTCCTGAGGGAGTTTGGAAATAGGAAAAAGCGTCGAAGAAGCGGAACATCTGGAGAAAGTTGAGCGTGTCAGTGGTGTCTTGAGACCCACCCATGGTGAGCAAAGGGTGTCCTCGAGCAAATTTGGCATCAGTCGGCTCGTTGGAACGCCGGTGCACCTCCTTCGGTCATACGGCTCGGCTCAGTCAAGACGGCATGGCTTTTCGGCGCGTACTTTTTTGTATAAGTGACTACCCAACTGATACCAGGCTATTCTCTTATGTGCACTTGATCAACGCTCTCTACCACCACTCCATGGATGGTAGTATTGAAGTAGTACATAAGTGTGATGCTATTGATTAGGGAGCGTTAACCATGCGTACAGATAAAAGGGAAGTCGGGCACCGGCGTCAGCTGGCGAGCCGAACCACCATCGGCGGAAAGTAATGATGAAGCTTGCCCAACACCTTGAAGGCGCAACCGAACGTAACCGTCACTGAGCCGGCAGCATTCCGGGCTGCACTCATATGACAACTATCAAGCTCCTTCGCAATCTCGGCTATCGGTTCCGTAATGAGCAACATGTAAAGATCGTCAGTGTCGCGGCAGTTTTTTTTTGCTTTTCGTAAGCAATGCGGACACTGTTGTTGGCAACAAGAGCGGGTTGCTCACCTAAGCTATGCACGAAGTGCCATGGAAGCCCTCGGAGAGAAAAGTTGCTGCAGAGCCAAAAGCAGGTATGAATGGGAAGTGTTTTCATAATATTATTGATCGTACTTGAATGCAAGTCGCCAGGTACTGGCACAGCAGTGATGACCACATCTACGCTCATAAACATTGAAACATGGGTGAGTCAAGTTTGGATTCGTTCGAGAACACTCATTTCTTTCTTTCCCTCGATAATGCGAAGACCGCATGCGACGAAGATAACATCCAAAAAGAGTTATGGATCTTGGCTGGGAACTGTGGTCGCTCCGTGCTTAGTCAAGACACTTAGCGGCCTCTGACTAATTGCTGCTCTGTTCTTTAGTCTATCCGAAATCCCAACAAAAGGCCCGAGGTGTCGCAGGACTTTTCATCTAGCCTGATACTACATACCGGACAATTGATGGGCATGTGACAGGATCCTTCAATGCGTCCCGAATGAATTCCCACAGCTTATTGCCTTTCGTGTGCTGTGAATGTTTCCTTGGACATGCATCCTTGACCTTCTTCAGCTTTGAATCACGAATGCTCGCACAGTCATCGAAACCTGAAGTATAAGATGAACTTTTACGAGTGAAGAGAGAGCACATCTAAGCAATTAGAGAAATCACAGGAACGCAGTTTCTGCAGTGGATCCTATTTGATACAGCCAGGGCACTCCATCGCGTTGTGGTCAATTTCTGCTGAATACGACCCTCCCCTCCCCCCTCTTGTCCGCTGCTAATCTGGTAGCAGCTGACCAGATGAGCAGCGAGCACAGCTACCGAAAAAAGAAAGATCTGCAAAAATAAACGATAAAAATGACGCGACGTTAATCAAAGATAAATATGAGAAACACGATGGAAATGAGCTATAATAAATCGTAAACAAATCAAGAAAAGGAATAAATTATAAATGAGCATCAAAGGACATAAGGAAAGAAAAAAATGCTGGGAAAATGCGAATGAGTGCACTTCAATATTTATTGTTCGCGGTCAATCAAAGGTGAGCGCGCTCAGTGGTGTTGGAGCGAGCTATTTCACGACCCAGAGCCAGTATCAGGCCAAACACTGAAAAGTACCTCTCACTTGAACACCCATAACTTCTTTGAGAGTAGAGGTTTTGGAGAGGAGAAAGCAGCAATGTGGAGCACGTTGGCACTTGTTACGTGAGTTTGAGTGATTTCAAGAAAAAAAATTCCTTTTCAAGAAAATTCATCCGTTGTGATCCGGATCATCGGGAGTCCTTACGCTTCGAACAGCCACAACAAGCTCCATACAGGGCCATTCGTAAAAAAGCAAAACGGTGCCGAACTTTCGTAGCTTTCTACTTCCCAGCAAAGCTTTCATTTTATCCCTAGGCCTGTTATCGAAAAAAAGCCCCTGTTGTGATCACAATGCAACCCCTGTCGGACGACCCGCCCATTAGACGCCATACCACTTCCAGTTCGTTTGAAGACTTTGGTATGCTTCCAAGACACATGTTTTCGCCAAGGATATCAGGAAAGAGTTCACTGGACGCCAATTAGTATTGCCTCTATAATGCGCCATGCATAGGGCTTTCATGCAGAGGTGGTGAGAGGTGCAACTCCTAGATAGGGCTTCCAAGTGCAAGTAGGGGTGCTCCTGGGATTAGAAAGGTCCGAAAGTGTACCTTCATTTGCTTATTAATCGTCACGTCGTGGGTTCTTTGGTTTGTTTATTATTCATGACGACGTTGTGGACGGCCATCGTATTTTTTCTTATCGCCCCTTCCCACTTCTACGCTGACAGGTTGCTTCTGCTTTGTAATTTGTCTCTTCGGGTTCTTCACATGAATAATTCTATTCATCATAGGAAATAGTTCATTGGACGCGACTGGCAACACCTCTGCAATGCGTCATGCATAGCGCTTTCACGCAGAGATAATGAGAAGGTGCAATCTAAAAAGGGCTCCCTCCCTGCAAGTAGATGCGTAAGGTGCGGAAGTGTATTTTCATCTGTTTATTAATTCATGACGTGGGCGGCCATCGTACTTCCTGTCATCGCCTGTTCTCTACTTCTACACTGGCAGGTTGCTTCTATCTTGTGTGTGTGTGTGTGTGTGTGTGGTGTGTGTGTGTGTGTGTGTGTGTGTGTGTGTGTGTGTGCGTGTGTGTGTGTGTGTGTGTCTTCACGGGTTCTTCACATGGATAAGTCTTTCATCATTGAAGCTGAACGACATTTGGTTATCGCTGCACCCTCACTTCAGAGCCCGTTGTGATCATCACAACGAGGGCGTGCCCTGCCTACAGCCCACATCATTTCTAGAAATGAAACAAAAACTCGTTTTGCAAAGTAACTGAGACTGAAGTAGAGCAAGGAGCACTCCTATCCTGGTAACCACGTCGCTAAACAATGACGTTCGGACAAGGACAGAACTGACAGTCCGTGACATCACTACTTACGAATGCTTTCCAGGAATGGTCACCAGGTCAAAGTGTTCAATCCTAATGGGATCTAGCTCATGAGAGGTGGTTTGGACGATGATCTCAAATCTGCTTCCGAAATATTCAGAACGATTCTCTGAACAGAGTTATGGAGCTTTTTTTTACTGCGTCCACCTAGTTATGGAGCTTGTTCCTCCACATCCACCAAGGAACAGGTATGGGATTGGATTCCTGCTACGATTAATTTTTTTGCTTCCTGTGGAAACATGGCAAAAGTGGTTGAAGCGTCATTACTACACTATGGGTGCTCCCCTGAACTTGCTTATGAATCTTCTTGAGGGGAAAAAAACTAAATCAAGAAAAAAGTGAGAAAACAACGATCGGAGGAATGTTCAGCAACAACGATGGGATGGCCTAGTGGACAGCGCGAAGGATTCTCAAGCGGACAGTTGGGGTGGGGTTGATGGTTCGACTCCCCTCGGCGGGCGAGTTTTTGCATTTTTTAAGTTTTGCTGTTTTCGCGTTCAAATATGTCTGTGCGTGAGTATGCGTTAGATAAATGCCATTTATAGGCATATTTTAAATGGGAACACTCCATGAATCAGTGCTATTCAATTATTACAGGTTTTACATACCATTAAGCAAGACCGTAATTGAAAGTTGACTTTTATAGGTCAGACCATGCCCGAATCACGAATATGGAACTTATTTGTAGCTACGGTGCCATTTATCGCTGATATGGAATGACATATTTCTTTCAATGAATGCGTTGGGTACACACAAATAAGGGACGTAGCGGTATCCAGCCGCCAAATTACGTCGGCATCGAAAATGACTGTCAATTTACCCCTGTAAACAATCTTTCGGCCAAAAAATTTTTTTTCGACTTTTTTGGGTGTGTGCTTGTGCCCGACAGTCTTTCCATAGAAGTCTACAGTGCCTCGCCAGGAACCCCCTATTTTATTGATGTCCAAAGATAAAAGTAACAATGCCGATGAAATTCATGCAAAGAGGAAGGAAAGGGAGGCATTCCACCAGGTTTGTTGTCCTGCCCGGCGGCCTGCTACGTCCATCATCGTCTTTACGAAGATGGGATACTCCGGTCACGCTGCCGACCAAATGGTAAACCAAAACCCAAAAAATCGAAAAAACTTTTTTGGCTGGAAGTTCGTCCATAAGGGTAATCGATGGTCCTGATTACGATTTTGACACTTATTTTCGACATCGACGCAATCTGGCGCCAGTATAGCGCTTAACGTTCCTCATATGGGAGTACATAGACGTATCTTTTGCTCCCTTTTTGGCGTTCCTTGGGCCGCTCAGCCAAACGAAGCCCACTTTTATGGTTCATGTGCAAGGCCCTACAAAGTGCAATAAACCGTTTCGAAAAAGCGGGGCACGCCCTGAACGACCTTCCTGGTAAGTAAGAAACTAGAAAAAAAATTATTCGTGAGCCATAATCGTCTCAAGGAAGCTGAATGAAATTGGATTCAATCGAACCATTGAGCTCGCAGCAGGAAGATTTGTCTCTGCAAAGGTGATTCGATGTTGGAGAGGGTTTTTGCTGCAAATGCGTTACAACCATCGGTGAACTAGGACTCAAACCACTGTGAACGACACGAAGATTAATCGGACTCAACCCTAAAGAATGAATCAACTTACAAAATTGGCAGGTAAGAACACGAGAAGAAGAAGACAAGCACTACCTGTCGATAGTCCTGCAGCCAAACTTGTTGCCAGTGAATGGCTGAGTTTCTGTTGGAAATTCTGAGCCAAACTGGAATTCAGCTGTATGCTGTGATTGAGTGTTTGATTAAGAGTCTCCTTGAGAGCTTGAAATTGTGGTGCGATGTTTGAAGTGGTTGGTACAGCAAAACAACAAGTTGGCGGAATGTCGTACGACTTGGATGGACCAGCGCTTGCTGCGGCCACAGTTTCCTCATCGGCATTGTACTTTTTCATTATTTCATCGATAACAGATGTGTCTTCTTAAAAACGGAAACAATGCGGGGAAAGTTAATGTCACTGTGTACTATAGGACTCACCTGCAAGGTTCTTCCGAAATTCATTGTAGATGAGGGTCCCCAAATGTGATCTCGCTCTACAAAGTTTTGTTCAGTCATTCCAATCAATTGTTGACGACCGTGAGGTTAGCGAACTGAAAATGTTTGATTATGTTACAGTGTCGATGTACTTGACAACGCAGTGTTGTGCCTGCAATTACTAGTAAAAACCCGATCCAAATTGCTCTTCCATTCACATAAGATTAAACAAATGCCATAAGGCTAGGTGGAGAACCTATAAGTCCGCCATTTGAACACTAAAGGGAAGAGTGTGGTGTTTCCTTCCAGAATGAGGGACGCGTTGACTGTCTCTGCGTCCCTGCGACACGACTAATTCTTCATGTGACGTGTTTGTTCAATCAAACAAGCTAAATGCTTTGGCGAAGAACGCTGTTTATCTGAAGTGAAGGTAAGATCTCATAGCCACGCGTTTCGGTAGTAAGGCAGCCTTCGTACTTGCGGCAGCGTCCACTGGAACAGCTCGAGGGCTAGGGAAGTAAAGGTATCGATTGGCGTCTGCCAGACTGACCAGCGACCAGCAGTGTCCGGGAGTGGAGAGTATGAGGCACTAGGAGGGTAGCACCTAGCTGGTACCTTTATCAGTCCCATACTCTCTACCAGCATTCTGCTACCCTCCTATCTTCCCACAGGGTACAGCATCGTAGTGTGAAACACATGGGGGGGGGGTCTACTTTTCTGCTCGGAAGGGGGGGGAGGTCCTATTTGGTCGTTGGGAGGTCGCATGTGATTTTAAAGACACATGGTACGCTCAAACACACTGAGGGTGTATGTGACTATCAGCCCCCCAGCTGTCGATGTGTGGTGGCCCCCCGCCCAAAACTGCACGGGGTCAGAGTACGGGACCGTGGGAAAGTCCTAATTCCTTGCTACACCACCCTCACGTTTATGCTAACACCATCCGCGCAGCGCGGTCGCGTGCAGCTCTCTTGGCTTTTTGCCAAGTCCTGATTGCGCTTAGGAATACAAGTACAACGCAATTTCTTTATGCGGACAACATTTTAGGTGCTGCAAAATAAGAACCGAAGATGATGACGAGGCCTAGAACTCAAGAGCAACTGTACTGCTTCTGCAATATCCCTCGGAGGCCGCGCACCACAGAACATGACAATAAAAACGGACAACATGACATAAAACATGGCAGTACAAGCAAAACGCAATTTCCTAACATTTGAGGGATTGCTCATGCTCCAAAATCCGAATAGAAGGTGATGAAGATGAGAAAGGCTAGAAATGAACAACAGCGAATGCAGATATAAACAAAACAAAATTGAAAAAAACTAAGGAAACGCAATAAATTAAAATCGCGTGTGCATTTCTGCGATTCGGCTCGAATCCGGCTCTAATGCTATAGAAAAACTTCAAACTAACGAGTGGGACGCTTAGGCCGTTTTTATCTTGATGTTTTGTGGGCCTGCGAGGGCTGTTGCAGAAGCAGCACAGTTGCTCTTGAGTTCTAGCCCTCGTCATCATCTTCAGTTCTTATTTTGCAGAACCTAAAATATTATCCGCATGAAGGAGTTGCGTTTTACTTGTATTTCGAAGCGCAATTACAGGACTTGGCAAAAAGCCGAGAGAGCTGCACGCGACCACGCCGCGCGTACGGTGTTAGTAAAAACGTGGGTTTGCAAAAACGGGCGGCCTAGCAAGGAATTACGACTTTCCCACGGTCCTGTACTCTGACCCCGCGCAGTTTTGTGCGGGGGGACCATGACACATCGACAGCTGGGGGCTGATAGTCTCATACACCCTCAATGTGTTTGAGCGTACCATGTGTCTTTAAGGAAATATGCTGCGTTGAGGAAAAACTTTTTCCTGGTTGTTGACTTTTCGCGTGTTTTTGCCTGCTTCATGTGATACCCCCCCCCGCTCGACGGAAAATTTTTAGGTGAAAAAACAGGAAAATATGGGAAATTGGTAGATAGGTGTTGAGGAAAGGGGTGGGGCTTGTACCGAGATCCCCACCCCTTTCCTCATCACCTATCTACCAATTTCCCATATTGGGGGGGGTCGTATTGACACCCTCTCTCGGGAGGGGGGGGGGGCGTACCTACACCAATTTCACACATCACGACTATCGCAACATGCTCTCCACTTTCGGCTACTGGTCAATGATAGACGCTGGCAGACGCTAGCAGACGCTAGATCGATACCTAAACTTCCCCAATACTTGAGATGCTGCTGGTCGTAGGTGGACGCTGGCAGACGCTGGCAAACGCTGGCAGACGCCAGATCGATATCTATGCTTTCCTAGCCGCTGACCCGGACGCCCCATGGGAGCGATGAAGACTCTCAATCCAGCCTCCTGACCCCTCTGTGCCAGTTGAATCAATCACGTTAGTTCCAGGTTATGACTCAGCGAGTGGGACGAGGGCTTACGGTTGGGTTGCAGAATGTGAACGTATGATGACAGTGATAGCTTCAAAAGGAGGGTCAACGGGGTATAGCGCGTGCCGTAGCACGCGCTATACCCCGTTGATCCTCCAGTGCTTCCAACAAGAGGTATAGCGAGTGGGATGGGAACATCGATGATAGGTGACAGGAAGTGATAACAGGTGACATACAAAAATGGTAGTCGGAAAAAAGGAGTTTTGGTCCCATCACGTGATATAAAGTGTGGATTAAAACATGGAGCGATAGAGTTCCATGACAAAACCTTACAGCGATCATGACCTCGAGACGTCTGTTGTTTATAACAAGCAAAGGCGGTGTGCAGTTGGGAAGCTGTAAAAGCAGTGCAAACAAGAAGGGCACGTCAGCAGATCAGAGTACCCTCGTTTTACCTTGAAGCACCGTTATAGTCTCCCAACGATGAAGTATGGCCAAGTCAATCACAGATAAGACAAGGTGACTTTATCAGTGGTACTAGTCATTTTTCATTAACAGCACTTGTGGGAACTATGGCAGTCGTCCCTGGAGGGATGGGGGAGCGTAAATGCTAGAGCAGGACCCTTTCGCGGTATGAATGTGGCAGTATTAGGGGTGATTTGACAATGCGCTCAAGCTTTCGCATGTTTTCTCGTTTCTCCTCTTGGAGCCTACACAGGGAGAAGAATGGGCGTGAGGAAAGGTTGCGGTCATGCCGATGAGAGTTGATGTCCCACAGCCTACTTTATTCTCCGCGAATGGTACCACCAGTCTGGCTGACTGGTAGCATTGCTTAGTCAAACTAGTACTTGTACAAGATAGTATGCTAAAGAATAGCGTAGAAACAAAAACCTTGTGCATGTTCATCTCTTCAAAAGGAATCCCGTGCTGTTTTGCAACATCAAGCATCCAAGAAACCACATCGTCAACCAACCACTCAACAGGTTCTTTGACTCGAAATCTTGCCAAATCCACTCTGAAACAAAGCGAAAGCTGTAGATATATAAAATTAAGGGAAGACAAACAAGTCAGTCCGGCCATTTCCAGGGAGGTGCATGCCACTTGTACGCGTCTTGAAACGGTGAACTCAAATTGACCTTCAAAATTTGAAAGCAATTATTTCAAGGAGCTATGGATTGTTTCTAGAGAAAATGCAGAAGCGTCCTCATCTGAATGCGAAAAGGATGCTACGTAACATAGTATTACAACGCCGCGGGTAGAGAGCAGGGTCATATGCAAAAGGTTGTGAGATCATATTTTTGTGACCACACCTTTTGCACATTTTAGGAACATGGCCAACGAAGCTCCTAACATCGCTGCTTCCCACTATTTGCTTAAAGACTATTCCCGCGATCAAGTGTTACGGGTAATTGGTGCTCAGTCATGAACCAGTGGAACATAGGCAGCTCCTCAGTAGAAAAAAAGAGCAAAAACTTCGGGAACACCCTAAACACAGACCTCCCCTCAGCAGTGGGGCAGCGTCTTGGACGAGTATGTCGGGCGTGAAGAACGCGCTCTCCATAGCGATTAGAGCGCAAAGCTTGAGTGGTGGGACCGTGCCGTGAGCGCTAGGCAATTCCGGCCAAGCGATGCGATATTCGTGTTGGAGGTCGAAGGTCTGGAAATGAAATTTTTAGCCTTTTTCTACAAAACTCGATAGTAAAACTGGTCAGATGTCGGAAGATTGGGGTAGTAACAATTGAATAGTGCCCCATCTAAAAGATCATTAGGTGAGTATCAGAAAAGGCTTGCCGCTCTTTTATCCACATCCTCCTAAATGGAATCGCGCTTGCAAAGACTGTGGAACTCTAAAACAGCCGTCGTTTTCAATTTATGTCCAAAGGTGCGAGGTTTGCGCTTGATCGCTATGGAAAGCGCGGTTCACCGAAGATGGCAGTGCCAGAAGCGGCGCGCGCAACACTGCCGCGCGGGTGTTGTAGGAGTAGAGCTCGTGGACCGTTGTCACGTACAGCTACAGTATGATGTCGCACGTGTTGCCACGCTCACGTGCCTCTAACATCTCGCCGTTCTGAAGGACGAAAGTGGTACGTTCTCCGTGAACGCGTATAGCAGTTCGAAAGGCACGGAGTCATTTCGAGAACCACTTGATCGCGGAAAGTGTCTTAAAATGTATAGGCACCTCGTGACTCAGAAAAGGGCATGTGCTTGTCCCCTCGTAACATATTAGGTTGGCAAAAAAGTATTTTCCGGTTTTTTGAAAAGTTGCTATCTAATATAGAAGGCTGCCGGGCATTGAGGTATAGCTGAGGATATTCTGGAACATTCACGAAGCTTAGCCTCTACGGGGTATATGAACTGTTTCACTTTCATTAAGCTTTAACCACGGCTGAAATTACCAGCACCAATATTTAAGCAATACTTTTCCTTTTCCTACTTTTCCTTCTTTTTCTACGAATGGCGCCGTAGGACTACTGCAGCCACTGCAGTCCGAAAGGTCAACGGCGCATTCGGTGAAAGGACGACTACCGATCGCACCGTACGTTATTGGTATAAATGCTTCGAGGATGGAGAGACGGACATGAAAACTCGACAGCGTAGTGGACGCCCTTCAGTGCTCGAAAGTTAGGCATTGCTCACCACCATTGGAGAAGAGCCTTACACCTCCGCAAGGGATTTAGCAAGCGGGTTCGGGTGCACGCATACGACGGCTGTAAGCCGCCGTCACGCCCAATGCCGGAATGTTTTGACGAAATGGGTACCTTATCAGTTGACCGACGACATGAGGACGGCCCGCCTGACTATCTTTCAATCTCTTCTTTCCAGCCGCATCGCAAGGAGTTTCTTGAGGACCTGATTACTCGAAATGAGAGTTGGATCCTCTATGATGCCAACACCCATTGTGCTAATTGGCTTCCGCGCAGTGAAGAGCCGAAAACGCAGCGGAAGTCCGACCTCCACCCAAAAAAGTTATGCTCCCGTGTTTCTGGGATTTCGAAGGAATGCCTCACTACGAGTTGCTACCGCAGAGCAGGACTACCACCGCTATCGTGTGTGCTGATCAGCTACAGAAATTGGCGGATGCTGCGAAAAAAAGACGGCCAAGAAAAGCTACCGTCCACTTTCTCCTTGACAGCACTCGGCCTCATGTCGCTTCGGCGACTCGTGAAAAATTGATGAAGCTCGGATGGCATCTCGTTGTAAATCCACCATACACTTCAGACCTCGCGCCGTCAGACTCATTTGTTCAGCCCGCTCAAAGCTTTCTTGTCTGAGAAAACTTTTGTTAAATATGATGACGTGAGTTCTTTGTCTCCCACACTCCACCATTCTGGGAGAGAGGAATGGGTAATTTGCTTATTAAGTGGAGCAATATTATTGCTAATGATGGTGATTATGTTGTTGATCAATCGTTGTGTTATATCAAAGAAAAACAAAGTTGAAAAGCAATTTCAAATCAAAAAACTTTTTTGCCAAATTAATATTTCGCGAAGGTCCTCGCACAGAATCAGTGGGCTATTAATGTTCAGTGAATCAAATACTTATGAGAACAAGTTTCCGGCTAAACCTAAGATTTCGGCCCAACTTCGTAAAAAAAGCGATTTCATATGGGTGAATAGTAATCTTATACTATAGCAGACTGATTTTCAGACGAAATTTGCTCCCAGTAATCAGGAAAATGATACAGATGCGAACACGTGAGCCGGACATGGTTACTTGCGAAAGACATGACTGAAGAGTGGATTTAACGGTAAGACAATCCATCAGAGGTAAGCTAGACCTACTACCAGTGGTGGCTGCTATTCAGCCATGACTGAACCAACCCCATTCTTTCACAGTTGAGTCAAAGCTCAGATCTAGCGAGATTGGCGTTTCTAGGGATTATTTGACCCAGTACACGAATACCATTGATTTTGAGCTCGTTTGTCGCGCGCTAGCGCGGCAGTTTTGACGCTGGCGCGGATTAAAGAAATAACTACAGGAGAAAACCTCCATAACTCCGTTCGGAGAACCGTTTCACAACTTTTGGAGAGGTCTGAGTTCAACGTGAACAAAGGTGGGCATCTCACCGCAAATGGTTGTACTGACCGTTCAACCTTCCCTGCTTGGAAGAGTCCAATGCATACTTTTCGTTATTCGGTATTGGCTTGAAGGGCGTCGTATTCACGTGAGAACGCAGAATGCTCTGCGCACCACCCAGTTTTCCGAGTAATGCTGGCAAACACATCAATCCAGGATAAAGCGGTAAAACAGGCGCAGAAGTAGAGTGTGGTGTAGCACTTGAGAGAGCACTTGATGTTGGTGGCACTACCGAGAATGCCGATGGACCAACGAGTGCGAATCCAGTGTTCCTGAGACTTTGAATGTGATTATTTACGTCTATGAGTTTGTGAGTATATGCTTAATGTGAGTAAACACATGAGAACTACTACACATTTATATAAGAGAAAAAAAACAGCACGAATGCACTCGGTGCACTTATGCGAATTCCTGTCGACATGCAGGGTAATGATACGTACGACATGATAAGGTACAGAACGATACCAGCCTCATTTGGTATAAACGCTAGATTGAACTTTGATTGCAAGCGATACATTCCCCTGTTATGTTAGGGTGATTCATGATCAACTAAAGGACCAGCGAACCATGGTAAGACCTTGCTCCTATCGCTGGATTGGAAAACTCGCGTTGCAACGAAAATACTGTTTCTTGAAAAGTCATACTTCCATTTAGAGACGTAGTGGCTTACTGAACGCGATATGGTTCACACAATGACTTGCGGAGGTGGCCCGATAAACAAGTCTGTTATTGTCTTCGCAAACGAACTTGACGCAGTTTGACGTCCTCCAGGGAAGGAGGGCTCGGTTGGAGAAATAAGAGTCGATTAAGGATATAAAGTCCGGACCGCACGCGTGATATGCACGCCTCTTGTCATTACACCACCATCGCCTCATGCAAGGCCATGTTATCTGGAAATAACCAGAACATTATGGGAAGCTGTCTTGTTGAAACATTGAGCGGTTTAATCCACTCTTTCCGGTTTCCGGAGTGCTCTGGAACCGGCCTATAAGTTTTTGAAATGGGCACGCTATAACCGAGAGCAAGCTCCGCCCACTGTGGGCGGCTCTCAACACACCTCAGGTGGGCCAAACTCTCCCCAGATGTTGCCCTCCTACACCGACTTTTTTTGCGATTTCTAACCTCTCTCGAGAACCGAGTTAATGAATTTCTCGGGAAGCGCCGCCTACCTAAAGGACGCCCCGCCCATATCGGGTATGTCTCCACTAATTAGTCTGACAGCACCTTGCTAGCCTTATTCCACTTTTTCGCCATCTCTGGGCTACTCCTGAAGCGAGCTATGAGTTTTTTCTGCGGCACGGCAATTCCCGGCGCATGCCCCGCCCGCTGTGGGTGGGGCTTCGCATAAGTCATGTGTGTTCTTTACATCTTTTCCCATGCCCTACCCATCCCCACCTTGACCCGACCACTTCCAGTAGTTCTTCAGGTCGAACCCAATTTCCGGACAAACAAACAAAGAAACAAACAAACAGGCGAAGCAAATTATATTAGTGCCAAGACGTTGCTACTAATGCACCCTCATTTCTCCATTATTGGACAATACATGAGTAGGTTTATAGTTTCAGGTATTTATGATACTGGAAGATAGCTTTCTCTTGAAAGACTTCCGCTTCCTGGCAAATATCCATGAAGAGTAGCAGCCGGAAAGGAACTTAGAGCCGGATATGAACGTGACACTCCACGAAACACTCAAAAACTCGTAGCGGCAAGGGATATCGATGACTCCTGGATGCACCACCTGATTCTCGTCGAACAAACCGCATTCTGCAATCAGCGACTGCCAAAGTGGAAAAAGTCGTGCGTCTCCTCTAATTATGCCTCCTCAGGGACTCCATCATATCTCTTAGCAGAGGTCGAGAGCTCCCCATAAGCGAGAGAGAAAAATGGGAGCAGTAGGACTGGGATTAAGCACATAAAGCGGAAGAAGTTATGACTATAGTAGAACAGGATGTACGAGAAGTGGAACAACATCGGCGAAATGAACGATGAAATAAACCAGGTAAGCAAGTCGCAAAAGAAGGGAGAGTGGAACTTAAGCCCGGGACGAAGCCACGCAGTCTCACCCAGTCAGGAACCGGTACAGTGCACCATTGCCTCGATTCAGACCAGTCTCATCGAAACAAGGTAGAAACTCAAGTGAAGATAGACATCGACGCCGATTCACATAATCACTGAACCCATAGTAGCCTGCAACAGAACAGGAGTCATGGTGACGATTCCAAAGGAACGGTACGAAAGTGAAAGTGATATCCGAGAGGAATTTTGATAGCAGAAGCAGGACAGATCTGAAGAAGGTGGCCACAAGGAAAAGATGCACAAAGAAGTCGAGCTACTAAGTCCTATCGAACAACGAATATATACCATTTTCACTTCAAATTCGTCCTTTTTCAAACCAAATTCGTCCTTTTCAAACCAAATTCACCCCTTTACAAACCAAATTCACCCTTATTTTCGCCCATTCTTCAAAGGGTTTGGCACTCTAGGCTGACCAGCCCACTGGCTTTTCGCGGAATTTCGATGTTTTTTCAAAATTTTTGCATTGTAGGGTTGCTGCGTGAAGC